TCTGGTCAGCTTTTTCACCATTTGACCAAAATGCCAAAATGCAAGAACAATTAGAGGAGGAAAAGTTTATTTAGGGGCTCAGTTTCAGAGGTCTCAGTCCATAGATGGCCAACTTCATTGTTCTGGGCAGGAGAGGAGGCAGAACACCATGGCACAAGAGTGTGGGGACATGAAGATCAAGAAGCAGAGAGAGAAAGCGCTGCTCAACAAGGACAAAATATAAAACCCACAAGAATGCCCCTAGTCACACCCCACCTGCCTACAGTCACCAAATTAATCCCTACTGGGATTAATGCATGGATTAGGTTAAACCTCTTGTATTGCAACACTTTCATCTCTAAACTTTCTTGCATTGTCTCACACATGAGCTTTTGGGAGACACCTAATCTAAACCTTAACAACAGTCAAGATGGTTCTACAGGTTCATTCTTTGGGGATACCTTCCTTCTCCTAATACAGAACAATTAAAGAGAAAATATAAATGTGAAAATTAAGAAGATAAGTCTTGCTTGAAATTAAGATTAACATCTTCATGGGAAAAAGCATGAACAGAAACACACAATGGTTAAAGCTGTGGACTGCTGGGGCTCTGAGTCCAGAAAAAGGCAGAGAAAACCAGGAACTCAACTCTGGAGGGGTATATACAGTGTAAAAGTATCCCCTGAATACAGGCTTACTCCTTGAAATTATGTGCAGACATTGGGATCCCCTGTTTATGAAGGAGGCTGAAATAACCTGCCATCAATCAAAGTCTGGGGTTGTGGCTTCTAAAAGTTACTACACTAGGTTAGGCAAGAGGACACAAACTTGTCCAGCAAGTAAATCATGGCATCCCATGGACGAGGCCCCAGATCTGCAATATCTAATACCAGCCAAAGAAATGAGGCTCAAGCTGCCTTGAGTGTGGTAAGGTTGTCCCAGTGGTCAGGAAGAAGCAAATGAAAAAAAAAAAAAAAAAAAGGAGAGAGAGGTAAGGGGACATATACACACAGATTTTAAAAGCTAGAGTCACTGAAGATGAGCTTATAATCCAATATTGTAAAATAGAACTGAATTCATTCCAGAAAAAATGAAAATAATAAGTATAAAAAGTATTAAAATTAAATATGCTTAGAATCCTCGAAAAGATAATGAAAAGCACAATATTAATTTTATGGAATAAGAAAACAGGAAACAGAAAAAAAAACCAAAAAATACCTAGTAGACCTGGGCGTTGTGGCACACACCTGTAATTCCAGCAGCTTGGGAGGCTGAGATAGGAGGATCGTGAGTTCAAAGCCAGCCTCAGCAAAAGCAAGGTGCTAAGCAACTCAGTGAGACCCTGACTCTAAATAAAACACAAAATAGGGCTGGGGATGTGGCTTAGCGATTGAGTGCCCCTGAGTTCAATCCCCGGTACCCCTCCCCCAGAAAAAGGAGATATGAAATAAACATGTTAATATTAAAAATAAGCAATAAGAGATCCTGGAAATGAAAAATGCACTTATTGAAATAAAAAACTCACTGGACAGGAAGAATTCTGAGTAGGCACCAACAAAAGAAAAATAAGTTGAACTAGAAGATAGATTAAAGTGCAGCATGGAGACAGGAGAAAAAATATTTTAAAAAGCAGTTGAAAAACATGAAAAAGGACAGATTAAATGACCTTATATCTAATAGAAATTAAGCAGAAAAATTTCAAAGAAATAGAGAAAAAGTAGCATTTGAAGAGCTATGTATCAGAAGATGCACATTGGTACATGCAAGTGCAAACAGAAGTAAGTAGGTGTATGTCCGAAAAGGTCAGAGAATATTGAAAAAAGAACAGAACAGGTGCTGGTGCTGCTGGCTACCTCCCTTGGGATAAATGCTGACATAATGTAAGGGCAGGACACCAAAATAAGAAGAAAACCAAGAGGTGCCCAGTGAGACAGAGAGCTCTTCTGAACTGGTATATCTGTGTGTGAGTGGGGAAGTTGGTGTTGGCCTTATCCTAGGGCACAAGGTGGCTTGTGCAGAGGCAGGATAAATAAAGGAAGAAGCTGCAGGAACTGCTGCCACTCATCCACTGCCTTGGCACCTGCCTCCACACCCGCTGTGACTCAAAAGCTGTATTCAGAACTACCTTCTGGTCCGCACAGAAGCCCTAGGAGGGGAGGAGATGAGAAAACTTTGGGGGAGGATGATTCTTACCCCTTCCTTTTCTACTCCCCAGTCATGTTTACAGTTTAGGAAGCATCTCCTCTAAGGCCTCCTCTTCTTGGGGTACTAAGATAAAGACTTATCCTGAGGCCTTGAACCTGAAGTGGGGCATGATTAGCTCTGGTCCTTCTTGGAGGGTGAGGAAAGACATGCAGCCCACCCAAAGTCCATTTTCCCATTTCCCACTTAAAGCTGACAAGCTGATACTGACTAGGATCTAGCCTTTAGCAATCCTAGACAGAGCAGCCAATAGCTCTAGGGGGTAACCAGTCCATTGAGAAGCATAACTTTTCAAAAGGAAAAAACTGAATCTCAGATTTCATTTGAAACACAACATTAGAAAACATGGACCAAGAATTTAAAATAACTTTAATAAAAATACTGAAATAAATATATAAAAAATAAGAAATAGGAAGAATATATGAAGACTGAAACAAATATTAAATATAAAAACAGAATAGTTAAAATAAAGAACATAGATGGACTAAATAATGGAATGAATATAGCATTAAAAATGATTAAACTGGAGGATCAAGATGGAGAAACTCATTGAAGAAACAGAAAACAATCAGGGAGCAAAAACTAAAAAGTGAAGTTAAGAGATATGAAGACAGAAAGAGAATTACTAAAATATCCATATAGTAGGAGTCCAAGAAAGAAAAAAATAAACAGTAGGAAGCATTTAAAAAACCAGATAACAATCTCAGAATTAAAGAGATGACAGAATTTTTTGCACTGAAAACCTCCATGGATGACAGGGAAGAAAGAGAAAACCTACACTTAAGCATATTTGACAGTAACAGGCAAAATAATAATAATAATAATAAAAATAATAATAATAAATAAATAAATTACAGAAATTATGGAGATGTAACCATGGATTAGGCAGAGTTCTTAGATAAGACACCAAAAGCATGATCCATAAATGAAAAAAATTGGTACATTGGGCTTCGTCAAATATTTAAATTTTTTCTCTATGAAAAATATTGTTAGAAAAGATAAGTTGGGAAAAAAAAAAGAAAAGATAAGCTGGGTTCAGTGGTGTACACCTATTATCCTCTACTCAGGAGGCAGGAGGATCAAAGTTCAAGGTCACTGTGGGCAACTTAGTGAAACCCTGTCTCAAAATTAAAAAAGAAAAAAACTGGGTTGCAATTCAGTGGTAGAGTGTTTGCCCACCATGTGTGAGATCATGGGTTCAGTCCCCAGCAATGAAAATGAAAAGATAAGCCACAGACAGGAAGGAAATACATGCAGATCACATGTCTAGCAGAGGACTTGTATCAGAATATATGAAAAGTTCATAAAACTCAATGGTAAAAAAGAATTCAACTAGAAAATGGGCAAAAGACTTGAAGATGTATTTTACCAAAGAGAATTTATAATGAGCTGAATAAGTACATAAAAAAATGATCATCATCATTAGCCATTTTAGAAACGCAAATTAAAACCACCCTGAGAAATCACTATAAACTTGTTAGTCACAGATAAAATTAAAATAGTGGTAATACCAAAAGCTGTGGATGCAGAGGAACTGGGTCTCTCATACATCGCTGGTGGGAATATAAAATGATACAGTTTCTTATAAAACTTGGTACATACTTATCATACAACCCAACAGCCACACTCTTGGACATCTATCCTATAGATATGAAAACTCCACACCAAAAATCTATACATAAATATTCATAGCAGCTTTATTCATAAGTAGCCAAAACCCAGAAACACCTAAATAATCTTCATTGGGTGAATGACTGAACAAATTCTGGTAGGTTTTCATAATGTGATTTTACTCAGCAATAAAATGGAATAAATTACTGATATGTGCAACAACCTGAATGGATGTCAAGAGGATTACATTGAGTGAAAAATTCAATCTCAAAAAGTTATTTACTATCTGATTCCATTTATATAATATAAATTACATAAATAAACAACAAAAACTATATAGAGATGGAGGAAAGATTAGTTGCTGCTAGAGGATAAGGTTGGGGGTGTGGAGTGGGTAGCATTAGGGACTACTGTGGGGTTGGAATAGTTCTATATTCTTAGTGTGGTGCTAGTTACACAAATCTGTGTAGGATAAAACTGCACGGAACCAAATACAAAAACACAAGTTAAAAAAATATTGAATACTGAATTTAAAAACAAACTAAACATCAAATAAGGTCTATAGTCTAGTTAACACTAACATGCCCATGTCTGTTTCCTGATGTTGGCATTTACATCAGCTGTAAAAGGTGTCGACTCAACACTAGGGGAAGCTGGATGGTGGGAACTCTGTACCGTTTTTGTAATTTCCTGTAAGTTTACAATAATTTTGTAATAAAAAGATATTTAAATGAGTAGGAAAAGATAAACTACTCAGTAAATTAAATATTGCCTATCCACAGGGCACAAATAAAATAATATATGGTATAATAAATACATAGTAAAGTTCTAGAGGAATAAGGACCTCAATTCTTAGGGGAAAATACAAGAGATTTTGATTATAACAGGAGAAGGAAAAATTTCTTAAGATGTTTTTGAAAGCATAAAGGGAAACTTCGTAATTTGTCCTTATTCATATTTAAAACCCTGTATAATAAAAAATACCAAAAACAAAGTGAAAAGACAAGCACATGACACTGGGAAGGCAAGGAAACAGGCATCCTTCTCAGAGGAACGCAACCCTGCAGATATCTTGGTTTCAGCCCAGAGAGACCAGGGTCAGACTTCCAACCCACAGAACTGGCAGTCTAACAAATGTGTGGTGTTGTGGGCACAAAGTTTTTGGTAATTTGTTACAAAAGTAAAAAGAATCCACCGCAGTGACTTACCTCTGTTGATTTCCAAGAATTTATCCTGAGTGGTAGAATTTCCTGGGACAACACCGTGCCAGCAGGCGACTGCATGTCTTGGTGCAGCTCTTGTTTCAATCCTGCTTTTTCTGTCAACGACATAAAGCTAATATTTTACTTCAGCAAAAAAGAGTAATGTTTTTGTATTAGTTCATAATTTTTAATTGCTTCTCAAGATTCATTCTGCCAACTAATACACATCTGCCAACATGTACTTAGAGTATTAATCACTTGTTTATAAATGGATACTTCAGAATGATTTAAAAAATACAACTTAAATTCTAGCCCTTTCTCATATCAATTACTGACAGTAAAAGAAGGTCACATGTACCCATTCTAGGTCATCATATTACTATATGCAATAAGAAGTAAAAGAAAGCTATCTTCAACTGGTATATACACAATTGAGGGTTCATAAAGATTTCCCAGGTGGGGACAAACCCTTTTAAAGCAATCACCTTACATATCCAAAATGCTTGCTTATATTCTTTCCAAAAACCCATCTGTCTGAGGATGCAACTGCATAGAGGCTGCAGGCTAGGTCTTCTCCCCATCACATTCATAATCAATTTATCCCCACTTTATAAAAGAAAGACATGTCCCTTCATTCATCTTATTAAACTGCAAAGCATAAGAACTTCTACGGTGACAAACAACAGTCGGGGGGAAAAACACTGCGTTAGGGAGGACTCCTTTATCAAGGCCCCCAAAACCCCAGCATCCTGTCTCACAGATATTCTTTTAATGGCAAAGCATGCCACGAATAACAGGGTGTTTTGGTCCATACAGGTGTTTGGTATTCAGATATACAGTATTAAAGTATGGGGCAGCAGGACAGGTGACAAGTTTCACTTGATGTCTTTGTGATTTTCATCTCCCAAATATTGTGAAACAACGCATCATCCCTAAGGAAGAGATCACTGAGAGCACAGTAAATGAAAGCCTGGGGCAGGATCCTTATGTCATCAACTCAGGGAACTGTGACAAAGCTCCAAGCCTGAGTTCTCACCTTAGGATCAGAACTCAGTAGTGTGAAGGTAATCAGAACAATGTCTATTTTTACATTTATTCAAATAAATATATATTTTATGGGAAAACAAAACTTTAAATCCAACTTGACTCGTTGTTTTAGACAATGAGAGTTGGCTTTGTCAACTAGGTTATATGATAGGTACTTTCCAAAAATTAAATGAACCATATCTGCAGTTCCGAAGAGTTGATAAAAATATATTTAAACCACATGCTACAATAAAATCACTTTATCAAAAAATTATTGTATTGACAGGTATATTGCAATTAACATTTTTTATTTTCCCAGTTTCTGAGTATATTAAGTCAAATTAAAGTATAATAGGCTTAATTAATAGTTATTTGGTAAATTTTAGTAACATTTGGGGTTTACTTCCGAAATTAAGAAATTATTCCTACTGACTATTTTAACAAAACTTTTTTTAAGGAAGATGCTTCAATTCTTTGCTTTCAATAACTGAAAAAAGACTTAGTTAATAGTCAACAAGAGATGAAAAGTGTTTTTATAATAAATATATAATTTTGATATATTACTCTGAAGGAATTCATAAAACTGACAGTACTATAATAAAGCACCTTCTAGTCCCACCTATAATTCATATGAACAAGTTTTTATAGTATTTGCATCTATAAAAATGAAAAACAGAATTTATGCTGAACCCTGATTATATCTATCAATAAGTAATATTCATATGTAGGTAAAGGAATAATCCCATGTATCTCATAAAAGCATGCATTTGCAATAAAAGTATATTCTTTATGTTTGGTAAGTATTTTATATATGTTTGATAGTTTTTACAATGCATTCACATGGTTTTGACAGATTGTGGTTGTGTACTAACAATAACTGTAATAAGAAATCAATCTAGAAGGAATATTTTATCACTTAAAACCTTTGCTCACAGAAGATTTTGAAAAATAATTTCAATTTATGTGCATATTTGATGTGAAAAGACTTTGAGCACAAAAACAGCTTATATAAGGATAAGATTTGGAAAGGAATGTGGAATAAAACTATGACTTCAAGGAAAAAAAGAAAATGATGCTAAAATTTCCAGCAGATAAAGACTTCTTGTGTTGTTTTCAAATGAATGATTATAGGTACCAATCCCAATGGTATTTAGATTCTCTTAGATACTCCTGAATAAAACTTAGTCCAGTTTATTTTTCTTTTCTTCTGTCTTTAATGTCAATATTTATAATATGCCAGAATTATATCCTTTGAAGTTATTCATTCTTATAAAATTCCACATCAATCTAAAAATGTACGAGGAGGTACATAATTTTTCAAAATCATTTTAGGAATTATACAAGAAAAATACATCAAAAAGCAATGGTATGAGACATGGTCTTTGCCCTCAAAAAAACTTAGAGCCTGAGTGGAAAGATAAGATTAGCATACAGACTTATAGGAAACAATGAGAAGAATTATATAATGAACTTTCTTGAATGAACTAACTGTAAGAAGAACCTGAAACAGGAAGTAAATTTGAACAAGGTTTTGAAGGCTGGCTAGGATTCCAACCACTGTAAAGGAAGAGAAAAATTATTCCAAGCAGAAGGAACTATTGGCAAAAAGAGCAAGTTACGCATATATCAGTACGCATATATCAGGGATACTGAGGAAATAACAAGTACTTTTTATTTATGGCTGTAGCTTTTCATATTGTTGCAACCTCACATGAAAATGAATAATTAAAATGAGCTTATCTGGGGCTTGGGTGTATAAACACTGGCAAACAGTGGTGACTGGGGCTTAACTCATTCATCTTCTTTCTATGGATTTAATCAGGAGGCGTATTATTGCCCCTTTAGCATTCAGCACCAAAATTCTCTGTGAGATGATATGGACTTAGGGTTAGACATTAGGGAAGCAGATTTAATAACATTTTCAAAAGGCCAATTTTAAAGAAAATTGTTAGAGAAACTGAAGAATAGCAAGAATTATGAAAGAAAAATATTTTGCATCTTTGGGGATGCATTTTGGCCTAGAAGAACTAAAATGTAAGAAACCTATCTTACAGTGCAAGAAGGAAGGCAGTTAGCACATAGTTAAGTCTATGGAAAGTCATTCTTTGTATTTATTTATTTAATTTTTGCCATCAGCTAAACACTGGAAGTGAGTGAGGTGTGCTTAGTAAGATTAGATGACAATACAACATTTCTGGATTTTCAAAAGAAATAAAAGGGGAGGACACAAATTTAGTTCCTTAGCAGAAATAAAGTCCCTCTGACATCAAACCAAGTGAGAAACCTCAGAGGAAAAAAAAGTAAAGACCCTGCAGGAAATGGTGCTGTGGGGTGTTCGAAGATGAATGCCCAGATATTGAGGTCGTAAGCATGGAGTAGAAACTATCTAGAGAGAAGCTATAGCTCCATTGAGCCTGCACCATTCAGATAATACCTCAAGGCAGAACTGACAAACCCTGTGATAGATCTTAGATGAGATATCAAACTGACAGACTGTCAGACATGCGCAATGCAATAGTGTATTTTGGAACTGAAATGCTCCACAAAATGAACAAATCTCCAAGCTGTTACATTTATTATTTAACATCTGATTAACATTGTTGCTATGGATTGACAGTATCCTTTCAGGTATCATTTAAGTAAATTAAGTCATTTACTTAAAATAGTTTCTTATAATAGACAATGTACCCCATCATGGAAAACATTCAGTGGGCTGATGGAGAACTGATAAGATATAAATGTAAAGTCCCCCAGTGATTAAGTTTATATCTAATTTTTGCAGAATCAGAAGTTTAGAAGAAGTTGACTCCAATTTCATTGTCTCAGAGCATAATTACACAAAAGTATCTTCAGGTAACTGGTATTTGTTCTATTTTTTAAACTTTTATTTTGTCATAATTTCAAAATACAGAAAAGTTATAAGAATACAAAAACAAAATCCTATATACTCATCATCCAGATCACCAATTATTAACATCATACCCCCTTGCTTTATCCTCTATTCTCTGTTTCACTATGAACACATATTATTGATGTCCTGTATTTTATATCTGTTGGAGGTTGGGCTTCCCAGGATACACTCTTAAGACTCATATTTCTACATGGGGGGTTCATTAAGAAGTGCTCTTGGAAACAATATCCATGAGGACTGAGGCGGGCAGGACTGGGTTGTGATGTGATTATAAGAGAGGGCTTAGCCAATCCTTCTGGAAGCAGAGACTGGAATATCTCTTCACAGTTGTCTTGCCTGGAAGCAAGGGGGCTGGACCATATCCAGAAGTCATTGGATGTAGGTTTCCTCAAGGAGGAAGAATGACCTTGGGCGAATAGGCTCTCTTTGGCTGTCAGGAATTCTTGAAGAAGAACTCAGCCACCAACCTTCCCAAGCTGGGGGAATGAGTGCCTTAACCTTGGCAGAGTGAAACTGGGGTGTAGCTCAGCATTAGAGCACTTACCTAGCATATGTGAGGATCCTCAGAACCAGAAGGGAAAAAAAGAAAAAAAAATTATGACAACAATCTTACATGGAAACAAATGGTCTATACCCAAAGGACTTTAAAACAGCATACTATAGTGACACAGCCACATCAATGTTTATACAGCACAATTCACAATAGACAAACTGTGGAACCAACCTAGATGCCCTTCAATAGATGAATGAAAAATAAACTGTGGTATATATACCCAATGGAATATTACTCAGCAATAAAAGAGAATGAAAATATGGCATTTGCAGGTAAATGGATGGAGTTGGAGACTATCATGCTAAGCGAAGTAAGTCAATCCCCAAAAACCAAAGGCCAAATGTTTTCTCTGATAATTGGATGCTAATCCATAATGGGGGGAATGGCATGGGATGAGTGGAGGAACTTTGGATTGGGCAAAGGGGAGGGATGGGAAGGGATGGAGCATGGGGATAGGAAAGATGGTGGAATGAGTCAGACATCATTATTCTAGGTACAGGTATGATTGTACGAATGGTGTGAACCTACTTTGTACCAGAGAAGTGAAAAATCGTGCTCCATTTGTGTACAATGAATCAAAAGCATTCTGCCATCATGTACAATTAATTAGAATAAAAATAAAAATAATCTGGGGTTATAGCTCAGTGGTAGAGCACTCGCCTACCATGTGTCAGGCATTGGGTTCAATCCTCAGTACCACATATAAATAAAGAAATAAAACAAAGGTTAAAAACTAAAATTAATAAAAATTAAGAAACCTTCCACAGAAGTTAATCAAAGCATATGATTACTGGCACAAAATCAGACATGTATATCCCTGGAAAAGAACAGACAACCTAGGAATAAGTCCATACATTTACAGTCAACTGATCTTCAACAAAAGTGCCAAGAACACACAAGAGGAAAGGACAGTTTCTTCAGTAAATGATCCCAGGAAAATTGGATATTCACATGCAGAATAATGAAATTGGACTGTTATTTCACCCCACCTGCAAAAATCAACTCAAAATGGATTAAAGATTTCAACATAAAACTACCAGAGAAGAAACTAGGGGAAAAGCTTCTCAGGGCTGGGGTTGTGGCTCAGTGGTAGAGCGCGCGCCTAGCATGTGTAAGGAACTGGGTTCCATCCTCAGCACCACATAAAAATAAATAAATAAAATAAAGTCTTTTCATCTACAACTAAAGAAAAATATTTAAAAAAATTTTAAAGATATTTGTCTAAATTTTCTTCTAAACATTTTTAAATTTTGCTTTTTTACCTTTAAGTCCTTATTTCAAATAGAATTTTTTTTGTGTGCCTGTTATGAGGAAGAGTCCTGATTTCATTTTATTCAATACAGATAATTATCCCACTATTATTTACCAAGCAGTTCATATATCATCTCAATAGTCCACGCACCTATCCTGCATTGAAACCACACTGTGATTACATAGTTTTAGTGTGATTATTTAGAAAGACAAGCCCTTCACTTTAGTCTTTTCCAGGAATGTCTTGTCTATTTTTGATCTTTTGATTTTTTCCAGATTAATTGTATTGTCAATTCATTTTATGTTTTTGTTACAGGGATTGAACCCAGGGGATCTTTACCACTGAGTTTCATGTCCAACTCTTTATTTTTTGAGAAAGGGTCTTGCTAATTGCTGAGGCTGGCCTCCAACTTGTGATTCTCCTGCTTCAGCCTCCCAAGTTGCTGGGATTACAGGTATGGGCCACTACACCTAGCTTTCAAATTTAAATTTACAATCCTTTCTTGGATTTGATTGTAATTGCACTGAATTAGCAGTTCCCAATTAGGGGAAATTTTGGTCCCCAGGGGACATCTGGCCATGTCTGCAGACATTTTTAATTCTCACATCAGGAAAAGATGTGTGCTCATAGAGTCCAGTGGGCAAGGGCCAAAGATTAGATTTATTCCTAAGTAGATCATGATTTTTACTTATTACAAATGGTGTCTTTTAAAAAATGATATTTAATATTTGTATCCAATATTTAGAATATAACTTGATTTTATACTTTGATGTTCTAGCCAGCCATTTTACTAAAACTCCTATTGTTTTTAATGTCTATCAATCTTTTCAAGTTTTATATATACAAGTCCTATCATCAGCAAATAATATTTGTTTCTTCCATTCAATACTTACAATTTACCTTCTGTTACTTGTTTTACTGTTATGGGTGAAACTTCTAGTACAAAGCTGATTTAGCAAGAATAATGATAATGCTTTTCTTCTACTTGATTCCAAAGAAATACTTTCATATTCTAATACATGGAAATTTTTAACTTCTATTTTTTTCTTGTCTCCAAACTTAACTGCATTTTGGTAAAAATTTTAAAAAGTGGTCTGCATATGATAGATTTTTTTGAAATGTAAAGAGTTTCCTTACAGCATATATGTTATCAATTAAAAATGCAAATTTTTGAAAATGTTTGATGAACTTTGCCTATCAACAGTTGACAATAGATGTCTTAATTCTTTTCTATATTTCTTCCAACTTTGCTCATACAATTCAAACATAAATAAATTTATCTTCTTGGGAATTGAACATTTTATCTTTGTATGATATTAATACAGCAATACCAGCTTTCTTTAGTTAGAACAAGCCTCAGTTATCCTTTTCCATCCATTTGCTTTCAACCTTGATGTGAACTTTCAACATACATCAGAATTTCTTTTTCCCCAATTTGATAATCTCTGCCTTTTAACAGATGAATTTAATTTACTGATAATTATTGTGATTAATATATTTTGACTTATTTCGATCATTTCACTTTTTTATTTCCATTTGCACCATTTTATTCTTCTTTTTATTCTCACTCCATTTTTTCTTGCCACTTGTTTAGAATTTATACATTCTGTTTCTCTTCTATCTTGAAAGTTTATCCTTAAAAGTCTATTCTTAAAAGTTTACAGTTAAGTAATATTTTAAATCTTCTTTCAAAATATACAAAGACCTTTGGAATACAATTCTGTAAACCCACCCACCTCCAACTTATATGACATGGCCACCAACTGTTTCAGATATCTTTTTTTTTACTCAAAAATTAAACATTAACATTTTATAGAGAAACTATTTACTTATCATTCTCTCTCTTCCAACCAATCATCTACTATTTTCTTCTTTTTGAACATATTTTTGGACATATTATTATTTCAATGGTATTGTTCACTCCTATATGTTTTTTTTCCAAATTTAATAATTCAGTCCTAATAATTTCTTGATATGATTATATCCTTTCTAATTTAAATATTTAAATACATAGTGGCTTCATATTTTACTTTTCCAATGTCTACCATCTTTGGGAAACCAAAGATGTTCTTTGCTGCTTACTTTCTGCTGGTGTGGTGATACTGGATGATAATCTCATTGCTTGATTTTTAATTGGTGAAAGTCCCATAACCCTAACTTGTGCAATGAGTCTGCTGTCTTCTGCAAAAAACCGAGATCACTTCAGCCCCTTTTGAGGGCCTGGGTTCAGCACAGTAATCCAAGGCTTTTGTTCCTAATATTCAAGGCAGGCCCCAAATTCACTTTCTTAACTTCTTATGCCCTGAAGTAACTCAATACCTAAAGCTTCTCTCAGGCATCAGCTCCAAGTTACTCTGGTCCCAGTTCATGTGTTCTGTTCTTATTTCATTTACTTATTTAAATGTGTTAGTTGGCCTTTTGTCACTGTGACCAAAAATCCTAATAAGAACTGCTTAGAGGACGAAAAGTTTATTTGGGCTCACAGTTTCAGAGGTTCAGCTCATGGTCAGCCAATTCCATTGCTCTGGGCCCAAGGTGAGGCAGAACACATGGCAGAAGGGCATGACATAAGACAGCTGTTCAGTTCATGGCAGCTAGGAAGCAGAGACAAGATATAATCCCCAAGAGCATGCCCCCCCCCCCCATGTCCCACTTCCTTCAACCAAACCCCACCTGCCTACAGTACACCAACCAATAATCCATTCGATTAGATTACAGATCTCATAATCTAATTATTTCACCTCTGAACATTCCTGCACTGCACTATGAGCTTTTTAAGGATATCTCATATCCAAACCATCACATTAAAATTTTTGGAAGAAAAGATCCTTGGAGAATTCTCATAGCTCTTATGAGGCAATAATGCCTCAGATAATGTTGTCATTTGCAGCTTTTGGCTATTGTGCAATAGAGGGAGCTCCTAGTTAATTTTATTGCTAGAAGTAGCCCTTTAATATTGTTAACTTAAAAAATAGCATGTAGTACACTGTTTTTTACAAAAATAACTTCTAACTACCCATCTCTCAATGCCATCCATCTCTCTATATGTATGCTTGCCTAGAATTATGTTCACCCTACATTTATGATGACTATTAAGTAATGAGGTTGGAAGTAACTGATTCTTTATAATAAGGCTATATTGTTTTTACAAGAATAGAATGATTTTTCTGATAAAAATCAGCAGACCGAAAGCAAATATTCCAAGATGTTAATAATGGTTGGTTTGAAGTCAGAGAATATAAATTTCTGGATTTTTTTCTCTTTCGTACATTTTTACTTTTAAATTTAAAAAAATCAACTTCTTGACATTCATAAGTGCAAATGTTTTAGTAGCAACCACAACTTCAATTATAAGCCCTGTCATCATGTCCACATGTGATAAGCCAACCCAGTATGACTCTATGTCAACTGTTAGTACAAAGTTAACTGTAGGAAGTAGCAACACACCATTAGGAGTGTAAATTATACAAGCCTGACAACAACCTCACAATATAACTTTTGGTTCAGCAGCAATCATATGCTATTTGCAGGGAAATAAAATATTTCCATGATGAAGAATGCTATTACATTTAATGTAGCCCAGAATAATCCTTCTTAGTATAGAAAAAGCTGTACTGCAAATAATAGTACCACTAAAGAGCTCTTTATGGAAAATTAGATGACCAACACGGGTAATGTTTTGCTGGTCTAGTTGTAAGCAATGTCTCTGGAGATAGTTTTAATAATAATTACTGCCTCTAAGAAAAGAGACTATCTCTGATGCATACAGCTCAGAGAAGCTATGTTGTAATTGTGCTTTTTGTAGTTTTCTTTTTTGCCATCAAGCAGCAATTATTCTTCAGCTCATCTCTTCCTTCAAAATCAAAATCATCCATACAAAAACCACCCAAGCTATCTACCCAAATTAAAATTTGGGGGAAACATTCAGGAATGGCAGGGGTGGTAGTGGTGGTGGTGATGTGTTTATAAAACCTTCTTCAAAGTACCTCTTTTCCCTTGCTAATTTACCAAAGAAGCTAGGCGCAGCTGTCTCAGCTCTAGATCCCAAAGCCTGGGATTCAGATTTCTAGCATTCCACTGTAACTAATGTAGAAA